GATAAAGGAAGAAGAGGAGGACCGTGCTGCTGGTTTCTGCCGCGGAAACGCGGGATATGGAAAGGGCTGGAGGAGAGGGTACATTGTAGAGGGCACAGGAGGGGAAGGAGGGTTGGCAATGCATGAGCATATTTTTAGAGTGTGGGATTCGAGAGACGGGGAAGGGATTGGGATAGGTGTGAGAGGAGCAGTGTGTGCGGATTTCGCACACGGAGACTCGAGTCAGGGTAAGGGGGTTTGAGTGGGTAGTTGGAAGGGCCACGTCACGTAGATCCCTTGACAGTTGCCTAGACCGCGTAAGGGGAAGAGGAAAGGAGTGATTGGGTGGAAAGGAGGGAAGAAAAAGTACGAGCTGGAAAAGCAAATGAAAAACCGTCATCGGTGGGGGAGTTCTCCGTATATAAAGCTGATGCTTAGATGAAGCTGAAAGCGAATAAGGTGAAGCTGGGAGCTCTCAATTTTACCTACATATGAGCTTCATAAATAAACTGCTATCACCTCTAATCGTCTCTACTCACTAAGCTCCCTTGTTCCTCCTCTATCTTGCGTTAATCCATGCTCACTGAACTGTATTCGGGCACCTACCAACCAACACCTCTCCCTATCCACGTGCAACCCTCTCCCTCCCACCTTTTTTCGCCTCCGCTCTCCTCATCCCTTCCCCAGTGCACGCGATCAGTAGCCGGATGCCGGGTATCGCTACCCAACACATTTGGCAAAGTGCCGAGCAGCGTTGACGAGACTCGCCGCGAAATGGCGCTAGCAGTGATGCGGAGTGGCAGCCGAGCCGAGTTTTAGTAATTGCCCCATGTATGTATGTTTGTATGTACATGTATGTATGTGTGCATGTATGTATATACGCATGTGTGACGACAGGTGTGTGTGTGGTTTTTTGTTCCATCGTTCTCTTCGTCACAACCCAGCGTCTGCTTCTCTGCTTTAGCCAGCATCTATGTTTCGCCGAGGTACATCATTGATTTCGGCACGATCATACTGAGGGGCGGAGCACGATCCTCCAATTCGACATTTTGAAGACGCAACGATTCAGTGTTTGTGCAGTCTGCCTGTTTCTGCTGAAGATTGTGGCGCACATTTATCTTCTAGCTAAAACAGTTGTAACTGTCAGTTTCTTTCCAGTCAACACCATCTATCTGCAATCTTGTCATGGGCGCACTGGCACTTTGCAGCCCCTTCGTTTCTAATATATTGGCTTTCAGGCCCACCCCTTTATATCATACACCAGGAATTCGTGTTTATACCCGATATTATCGTGTATTCAGCCGAGGTGGACGAGGTGGTTCACGGCTGTTCAATGGCGATGCGAACCAGAATGCCCAGGATACGCAGCCGGAACTGAATGGTGACCAGAATTTTGGCCAGTTCGAAAGCGAACGTCAGAATCTCAACGGCAAATTTTTTTCCTTTTTTTTGTTTTTCCGTAGTTGAAAGTGTGTAAAGGCAGACGGAGCGGCCTTCCTTGGTCTGTATGAAAAAATAAGCCATTAGCTGCTCCAACTTATGATGTTGCCGGTGTGGAAAAGCTTTTGTTTTTAGTGCTATTTTTATGTATTTTGCTTATTTTATACAAATGCGAAAACTTACATTGGCAAGAGGTTATGTTCAGGTGTGTGTGTGTGCGTGTGTGTGTGAGTGGGTGTGTGTGAATGGGCGTGTGTGTGTGTGTGAGTTATGTGTTGGTGTGTATGTGTATTGGGATTTATGTGGGTGTGCGTGTGTGTGTGCGCGCGCGCATCTTTTTGTCACCCAATTCCAACTCAGCAACCAAACAAACCAGGAACTGAAACGTCTGGAGCATATGCCTGCCACGGTGGGACTCTGCCGTTTCAATATTGCCATACACATATGCTTGGAACTCGCGTACAAGTGCTAGGAAGAATTCGTCGAAATTTTTTGAGGGGAAACCATTTCGGGAACCAGATAAGACAGAAAGCTGGAAATTCACAGAATTTGAAATTCAGCTTTAAAGCACGCCTATGCCACATATACGGAAATGGCAAAGTTGAGTTCTCGTCATTGCTGGCAAAATGCCAATACACGCGATCTCTCTGCAGGCTGGAATCATGTAGAAAGCATAATCGCACCGGCAAGTTTGATGTCTCGTTTCCTGCATTTATAAATAATAAATGAATTTTGCATGTTAGATTTTGGAACGTTTCGCGGTGGCTTCCGCGGTGGACGAGGGGGATATTATCGCGGATTCGATCGTGATGGTGAACGGCCCGCATTTCGTGGTGGACGCGGTGGTCGTGGTGGACGCCAGTTCGACCGGATGAGTGGATCGGACAGACAGGGACCCAGATCACTGGAAAAGAAAGATGGATTTGGTAAAGGCAACTGGGGAACCGAACAGGATGAACTGAACGCACAGACTGAACAACCCAACAACACTGCCGATAGTATGCTGTTTATAATTTTTGCCTTAGGCTTTTGAGTTTTCGAATATCTGGAAGTTTTTTAGTGGACCAGATTTCCAGTGTTATGTAGAGTAAGCATAGAACATGCCTACTGAGATCTTGATCTTGGCGTGGTCTGGTGGAGCTTGTAAGTTAAATTATTGTAGGAAGTACTTCATATTATTTGAAGTGAGATTTAATTATAAAATTGGGAAAAAGAGGAAAGCGAGACATTTCGCACAGTCAGCAGTTCGCATAGCTTGC